CCGGAGCCGTGAAGCAACAGGAGGGCTGGCTGGTAATTCCTGCCCCTGCGCTCGGCTCCCAGCCCCATTCCTCCCTAATGAGCTCTGGGAACGGGGCGGCCCCGGCGCTGCTCAGCCCCGCGGCCCCGGGGCCAGAATTACCGGCCCGACCCACGCGCGGGGGCGGCGGGCCCGGGGGGCGGGCGGGGCGGGCCGGGGGCACCGGGAGCTGTGGGGAGGGCACCGGGAGCTGTGGGGAGGGCACTGAGGGCACCCAGGAGTTGTGGGGAGGGCACTGAGGGCACCCAGGCGTTGTGGGGAGGGCACTGGGGGCACCCAGGAGTTGTGGGGAGGGCACTGAGGGCACCCAGGCGTTGTGGGGAGGGCACTGAGGGCACCCAGGAGTTGTGGGGAGGGCACTGGGGGCACCCAGGAGTTGTGGGGAGGGCACAATTGGCACCGAGGATTTCGGGGGGATGATTCTGTAGGAGCAGCGATGTGGGGAGATGAGAACCCCCCCTCAGCACGGCCGTGGGGTGTTCGCCTCCCCGCGGGGATGGTCTCCGCCAGCCGGGGGCTCGTGGTGGAGACCCCCGCGCCCACCCCAGCGGGGTCTCACCCGACTCCCGTCCCCGCAGGCGACCATGGGCGAGTGCACGGAGCTGGAATGGGCCGTGCAGGTGCTGGTGAACAACTTTGACAAGTACTCGAGCCGCTGCTGCTGCTGCAAGAACCCGCGGCGCATCAGCAAGAAGGATTTTCGGAAGATGCTGAGCCGCGAGCTCAACCACATGCTGACGGTGAGCCCGGGGGTGGCCCGGGGGTCCCGCTCTGTCCCGAGGGGTGTCCCCGGTGTGAGCAGCCCCGCTGTGTCCCGCAGGACACCGGGAACCGCCGCGCCGCCGACAAGCTCATCTGCGACCTGGATGAGAACAAGGACGGGCGCATCAGCTTCCAGGAGTACTGGACCTTGATAGGCGGCATCGCCAGCCCCATCGCGCAGATCATCCGCCAGCAGGAGCAGAGTGTCAAACACACCAAGTAGCGGCTGCTGGACCCTCCCGGAACGCCCCCTGCTCCTCCGAGCCCCCCGCTTTGTGCCCTCCCCGAGCCCCCTTTGCCGAGCAGGACGGGGTCGGGACCCCCCCGGGGTGGGGTTTGGGGTGCGAGGCAGTCGGGGGGCTTCTCCTTGCCCTGCCCTCCTCCTCTTCCTCAAAGGGAGAGGCTCCCCCCGCGTCTGGGGCGGGAATTCTGTCTGTCCTCGGCGCTCCGCTGGCAGAAATCCCATCACGAGCAGCTCCCGCTCTCCCCTTGGGGCTCCCCCCGAAAACGGGGGGCTCTCCTTGGGCAAAGCGTGCTTCTCCCCCCTGCCCAAGGCTCTGCCCTGCCCGGGCCCGGGGCTCGGCGCGGTCCCGGCCGGGTGACACCACCGTGGTTATTTATTGCAGCAATAAAATTCGGAGGAGCAGCGGGTGACGCTCAGGCTTTGCCTTCCCGGGGGGCTGAGAGGGCGGGGGGTCCCCCGGCCTGTCCCCGCCCTGTCCCCGCCCTGTCCCCGCCCCCTGGAGGGTGACAAGGCCGGTCCAGGGCCGTCCGGAGCCACCACGGGGTGTCAGCAGACACCGCTGCCACATTTCTCACCGGAGGGGTCCCCAGGGGGGTCCCGGGCAGGGGGAGAACCGCAGCCCCACATCCCCGGCTGCCCCGACCCCCAATTCCTGTCCTGCACGTCACACGCCCCCCGCCCGGGGTGGGGACAAAGCTCCGCGGGACCCCCGGGACCCCCGGGACCCCCGGGCTGGGCAGGACCCCGGGCCGGCAGCTCGGGCTCTTCCTGGGGATTTTCCACCGGGAAGGGGCTCGGCCGTGGGGGGGAGGCCCCGGGCACCCCCACTCCGAGCACGGGGACCCCCCTGCAGCCCCCCCGGCCCCGGGAGTCCTGCCCGTCCCCCTGCCCACGCAGCCCCCCCGAGCAGCCCCGGGGTCCCGTGAGAAGCCGAACCGGGCCGTGCCCGTGGGAGCGGGCGGGGCCGGGCTGAGTCACGGCCGAGGAATCCCCGCGGGGAGAGGTTCGGGTGTGGCTCAGCCCGGGGGGAGCGGGGCTGGGCCGGGCTCCGCTCCTGCGGCTCCCCCGGGACCCCGGAGATCCGGGCCGGAGCCTGGGGGTCTCTCCGGGAGGGACCCTCGGGGCGGGCACCGGCAGCACCCAGCGAGCCATTTCGGGATGCAGCGGAGGGAAACAATCCCGGGAGCTCGTCCCCTGCTCGTGTCCCTTCCCCGGCCCTGCAGGAGACCTGGGGAGACACGGAGGGTCCCGCTTGTCCCTCTAAGAGGACGCCCCCAGATCCCAGAGGATCCCAGAGATCCCAGAGGATCCCAGAGGATCCCAGAGGATCGGAGTGTTCCCTCCCCCGTGAGGGTGGGACAGCACCCACCCCCCCGTCCTGGCTG